ACACACACACACATATACATATACACACACACATATACATATATATATACACACACACACATATACATATACACACACACACATATACATATACACACACACATATACATATATATATACACACACATATACATATATATATACACACACACATATACATATATATATACACACACATATACATATATATATATATACACACACACACACACATATACATATAAATGTAGTGAACTAAGCCTCAGGTCAAAACCTGACCCTGAGGACCTTCATGGGACAGAAACTGTTATTTCATTGATTTGAATCCAGAAATACAAATAAGCTCATCCAGAGACTTTCTAATTGTATCCTGCACTAATCAATTGAAAGAACACTCTTTTTTTATATTGTCATTACTATTTTTACAAATGTCTTGATAATCAAAAGGTGTTTAGTTCAAACCATTTTAAATGTTGAAGTGAACTACTCATTTTAAATCAACTGTGAAACAGAATTAATGATTTTTTAATCCTCATTCAAAGTAGAAATCAAGTTAATGTCTGTTACAGAGTAATTATGCATTTTTTGATCTTCTGTCTGAAATGAGAAGGAGTGATGTCGGTCAAAAGTCGGAGACAGTCACAAACAAGTTTAAACTACTTAAGGGCATCCTAACTTTTGCTCATGGACGGACGTCCTCACCCGTGTTCGTGGTCCCCCATGACCACAGGGAGGTGATGTTAGTTCATGCACATGACCTTCCGTCCGTAGGACACAAGGGTGACAATGCCACGCTGAAAGCATTAAAACAGATCGCTTATTGGCCTGGAATGAAGAAGGATGTCAAAGACTACATAAAAGGGTGCCTGGTCTGTGGCCAGTTTCAGCCATCCAGACCACTCCACAGAGCACCACTGCATAGTAGAGGCATTGCATTTCCATGGTCGGACCTCCAGATTGACTGGGTTGGACCACTCACATCAAAAGCTCTGAACGAATGCAGATTGGAAAAGGAGGCGTTAGTCCAACAAGGCGTGCGCTTACAAAGTGAATGTCAAACATCACAGGAACGCTTAAAAGCCTGTGAGGAGAAACTAGCCGTAGCAACAAATAAGATTTCTGACGTGGGGCGAGCTTGTCTGGAACTCAAAGACGAACAAGGTCAGAGTCCAGGTCACCCACCATCACCTCATAAGGATTTTGGTGCACCTCCTGCTCTTAATCCCATTCCATCACCTCCACATGTGTCTAGCAACATACCTCCACGTGCCATCTTGGTTCCTACGATACTGATAATACAGCCTTTGCTCCCAATTTCAGATTTGCAAAAAATCTCAAAATATGTTCAAAGCTTTATTCCTGGGCCTATGGGTTCTACTGGTACCAAGGCGTATATCAATGACCTAGATTTCAGACTGAGTGGTTATCCTAATGCTACTGTTGAGGATAAAATCAGCCTGATAAGGCTCACTTTGGACAGAGAGGTGTTCACCTTCATCGAGCGTCAACCTGATGCCACGAGAAGGGATTACAACCTTCTGTGTGAAGCTTTGATCAGAGAATACGACCCCTACACAGGGCCTGGTGACTTCCCAGCTGCAGACAAGGTCACGCAAGGGAAGCATGAACATCCAAAGGTTTATTACAAAAGAATCTTCCAAGCTTATTTTGGTTACAGGAATGAAACCGGTATGGAGGAGGAAGAAGGTTTTAAATTTGTTTTCAGCAAAAACCTCCAC